CCCGGAGTCCGGCTCGGCGCTCAACAAGTGCGTGTGCTGTGCAGGGGGCGGGTCTGGGTGGAGGCCCGCGGCGGGAGGGCAGCCTGGCCACCTTCCGGGCTGGGGTTAGGGTGCTCTGGTCACTTGGAAGGTTTGGGTGGTGGGCTGGGACTGGCTGGAGAGGAGGGGCAGCCGGGGTCCCAGTGTAAAAGTCACCAGCGTACTCCTGCATCTCCTCAGGCAGCGGGCTCCCAGGTCCGGGGTGACCTGAAAAGTGTGCTCTATGGAAGCTCTGAGTCCCCAGCCCCAGGTGGCACCTTTGGGGGTGTAAGCCCTCCGCTTGGCTCTGCGCTCAAAAGGGAGAGAAGAATTGGCACAAGTGCACAAATGGCTCTGAGGGTACTGGTTCCTGTTACCCTCCTTAGTGCCACACAGCCTCTCTGCCTTCCTGAGGGCTGACTTAGGGTAGGGTGTGGGACGTTTGGGCTCGGGGAGGGAAGGTCAGGATCTTCAGGGATTTGGAGGTGTAAGAGCCACACCCTGCAGCAGCTTGTGGGTCTCTTAGTGACTTACAGAGGTGGCTGTGGAGGAGGCTGACGCCCTTCTTTTCCATTCATCCTCAGGCTGTAGCTGCCCTGTTGCCTATCCTCACTAGGCTTTGGAGGATGACAGAGTGGAGTCAGGGTGTGCTGAGGGAAGGGAGGAGGCACAGGCTCACTTCCTCCAGGAGGAGCAAGAGTAGGTCTTTCCCTGGCAACACTGGTCGGTGGTTGTGCATTGATCTTCTGAGAGTATGAGAGTATGCTGGTGAGAGTATGCTGGCAGAGCTCCTGTCAGAGTCCAAGGCAGTGATGACACACCTTTAGAGCTTTCAGGGAAGCCTGCTGCAGCATGAGTGCTGTAGGTTCCCCACCACTGGTCTGAAGTGACCTGTCTGGGTAGCAGTAAGTGACAGCATTGTTTCCACAATCTTTCTGCCACCTGTTCCTTTCAACTTTCTGGGTTTTCTTTTGTTTTGGCAGTTTGGTAACTCTTATTCGACATCCATCTGAATTAGTGAATGTTCCTCTTCATCAACAACAGAACAAATGTACAACGTTAGTGAAAAATAAAACTGCTGCTTCGACTACTGCTTTGCAGTTCACCTACCCATTGTTCACAAGTGCGTGCTCTACTGGTGGAAATTCTAGCCTTTCACAGACTCAGGTGGGGAGCTGACTTGTGAACTTTGCTCGTCTGTGGTAAACAGCTTTTTTTGTACTCGGGATCGAACTCAGTACCTTGTGCTTGCAAGGCAGGCAGAGGCACCACTGAGCTAAATCCTAGCCCTGGATAGATTTTAATATACATAGGCCCCAAGGAATTTTTTTTCTTTCACAGTGCTTCTAATAACCTTTAAAATTGAGAGAATATTTGTGTGGTTTGGGGCTATAACAGTTCTTCAGTGAAATGTTATCAGTAGCTTTGAGGCTACTTCTGTCAAGTGCATTTGTGTAGGAAATGGCAGATTGAGCCACATACTGATAAAAATTCCTGCTGTTTCATTTTTTCTAGAGTTCTAGTAATTCATGTTCTGTACTTGAAGCTGCCAAGCACCAGGACATTGGACTGCCGAGAGCATTTTCTTTCTGTTACCAGCAAGAGATTGAATCTACTAAACAGACTTTAGGTAGCAGAAACAAAACTTTGCCTGAGCAGGTTTGGATTAAAGTGGGAGGTAAGCCATAAAGTAGTGGGTGGTGGGCAGGTTTCCTGCCTGAGCCTTGGCTGCAGGCCTTTTTAGCCACGGGGAGCAGGGGAGGTAGGTGGCTTGGACATGCCAGACAATCTTGTGTGTCTCAAGGATTCTCTTTGCACCCTCTTCCCATCTCGCTTTGAACATTCTTTTGAATTTTAAACATTATAATGCACCTTAGTATGGAAGCATTGGCTTTGAGGGTTTTTAGCAGTAAAATGACAGACTCACATACATTTCAGGTGTCTTATTACTGAAAGCACTGTATAACTTATTTTTGTTTTATACTCTGAGATAGGATTTGAAACCTGCCAAAAGGCACAGGAAAGATACATAATAGGAGGACACTACAGGTGGTCAGGAACTAGGTGGAGAGCCAGAGGCCATAAAGTGATCAGAAAGTTTGGGAAAGAAAAGGCCTACTGAGGGCAGACTTTGCCAGCCTTGAGAATTAACTCAGTCATTTCCTCCCTAGCAAAAAATAAATGTTTTTCAAGTTACACAGTAAACTAACACTGTAACACTAAACTTTTGACAAGTTGATGGGATAGGTTGGAGATGAAGAGTCATTGCTTTCTCCCCCTTCAGCCATTTATTTTTCTAGTTGGGACATTTTATGGGGGGAAAAAGATTTGTAAGGAATAAAGAGGACCACTGAAATGTCCCTGTGCTAACTACTGAGTTTAAGAAAGAAAATACCACCAGAGCCTTTAAAGTCCTTTCTCTGTCCCTTTTAAATGTTTTTACCTTTCTGCAATTTGTATGAATGATCCCTGAGCTTTATATGGCATATGGGATTGTATATTTACACACATACTAGTTAGATGCTATTCTTGTTTGCTGAGAACTTGTCATAGTTCTGAAGCATGTGCACACAGCATGTGGCATAAAAGTCATGATGCTGTTCACTGCTTTTGTGGGGAGAATCACTTCAAGGTGAGGACGCATTTAATATTAACCACTTAAGTCCTGTGTTCTGAGTACTGCAGTAAAATTGTAGTTGTCATGTTGTATTATAAAGAAAATCTTTATTTTTCTTTTAGGAAGATGTTTCTTTTCCATTCTGAATTTCAGAAATGGAGATGTATAGATAACATTTGTTGATTGAAAAGGGACACTTTTTTTGTGTGATAGTAGGGGATTGAACCCAAGGCTTCATACTGAGATACATTCCCAGCTTCTTTATTTTGAGGCAGGGTCTCACTCAGTTGCCCAGGCTAGCTCAAACTTTGGAACCTCCTGCCTCACCCTCTCAGAGAAAAGCTGGATTGGCTGCATAGCACTTGGAAGGAGTGTTTCTAGTTCACACATAGATCCACGCATGTAGTTTTTCAGTATGAGGTGAGCATGGAGCTCAGTGCTGGTGCACATAGAGTCCCTGCCGCCACAGCTTGTGGTCCAGTTCTCTGCTGCATACCCAGTAATGTTTCTATCTTTATAGGCCCCAAAATATATTCTACCTTAATGGGGGCGAGTTAAAAAGGATAAAAAATTGAAATCCCATTTTTTCCTTCTTTTGCAAAGAAGAAGCGCTATGTAAGCAAGCAATAAATAAGAGGAATCGGAGTAGAATACGTCAGTTGGACACAAGTATAGAACGAAGAGCCCTTGGAGAGATTCAGAATGTGGGCGAAGGCTCTACAGCCACACAGGGCACCTGGCAGTCCTCGGAGTCCTCACAGTCAAACCTGGGGGAGCAGACCCAGAGCGGGCCCCAGGGAGGAAGGTCTCAGCGTAGGGAGAGGCATAACCGAATGGAAAGAGATAGAAGGTAATGTGGTGACCATCAGGTCCCTTTGTATAGTTATCCAAGACAGGCAGGTTCATGCAGATAAACAGCATTTGGCTCCTTTGAGCCGAGGGTGGGGAGGAAGCAGGAGTAACACTAACTCAGGTTTGCTCAATGGATCATGGGTTCCCAAGACTCTCAGGTTCACTTATTCTCTGGAGGACTTAGTACAGAGAATATGAGGCAAAATCATTGAAGCCATGTGGGGAGAAGCCCAGGGGAGACTCAAGGAGTCCTTTCTCTGTTGTGTCTGGGATGCCCCGATTCCCCCATTGGTGTATTCTGACAATGTAGTGAGGTGTCGTCAAGCAGGAAAACTCATCCGGAACTGACTTTATTTGGGACAGCCACTGAAGTACTGGTGCCTTGTGCACAGCTGAATTCTATCTCTTTGAGGAGGGAAGCCCTGTTGTTGGCAGAGTTCAGGCCCTGCAGGCCACTCTTCAGTCTTTCCAGGTCTGAGTTCCAGACGCTGTGGAGGGCCAGCCTTCTTAGCAGAGATAGCGTGCACTGGGTTAGCTGCGCGGCAGGCAGCTTAGTTCCACATTTTGTTTGGTTCTTTCGAGAATGTTGTGGAAGGAGGAGGTTAAAATTGAAATGGTCTTTTCTGTGGATTTTATTCATGCGCTTCTATGTAGACTCAAAGTCATTTATTATGAGTACGGTGTACCAGTTCCTTTTATAAGCTCAGTAGATAAATAGCACAGAGTGAGACCCATTCAACTTTGAAACTCCAGGATTAAATGTTAAGCCAAGGCAATTTGCTGCCTTTTTTTCCCCCCAGATTTTTTTGAGACAGGTTTTCGCTTTGTAGTTCAAGCTGACTTGTACTCGCAGTGTAGCCCATCCTTTTGCCTCAAGACCCCCGAGTGCTGGGATTACAGGCATGGGCCACCACAGCTGGCAATTAATGCTTTTTAAAGAATGTATTAAAGCTAGCTGCAGCTGGGTTGATGGGGCACACCTGTAATCCCAGAAGTCAAGTGACTGAGGCAGGAGTTTGGTTGTGAATTTAAGGCCAGCCTGAACTACAAAGCAAGATCCTGTCTCAAAAAAAAAGTTAGCCAAATACCTTTCTTATATACGTCATGCTTTGACTGAGGAACTTCCCTGAACCCAGCTATGAATTATAAAGGGCATTCTGCCTACTCGGACATTTATTTAACCAACATTTATCAAATAACCTGTGAAAGGCCTCACATGGCATGTTGACAGTTTGAAAGTGAGTCCAAACTATCACTGGCTGAGTTTAACATCCTTCTGCAAGTTCTTTACCCCTCCGCTCAGTTCTCCCCGGATGAGAGATCAGAATAAAATGAGCTGATTGATATTTAAAATGTTAAGCCCCAGACCTAGCAGTCAGGGAGTTGTTTTCCTCTTACAAAGTTTCTAGTCACAGATCTAGGTATATAGGTGTGTAGACATAAGGAGGCTGGGCTACATTGTGTAAGTACTGAGTGTCAGTGTAGGTCAGACTCTTTGTATTACTGGATATAAAGGGTGAAAAGAGTTTAATGATAAGTTGTGCTTTAAATTCTCCAAAAAGGCCAGGTTTCTGGATATTAACCGAGTGGAAATCTGATGTGTTTTGAAATCAGGGCCCCTTGGAGAATCTGAAAGCTGTGTCTTGAGTCCCTACCACAACATTTGGCACCTGGAGAACAAATTATAACATTTTTGGCAGAAAGATCAATCTACCCAGAAAAGGCACAGTTTTACTCCAGTCTCAGAAGGTAGCGCTGTCCCAGATGTAGAGATGTGAGCCTGGCCCCTGAGAAGTAATCAGGGAAAACTGCTGGGACTGGGGCCCACCTGTGAGCCACAGGTGTTCTGGGGACAGCAGCACAGTGCAGGGCATTGTTTAGCTCACCTAAGGCTTCCCAGGATGGGGCACAGTCCGAGTACTCAGACTAGCTCCCTGAGCTCAGATCCCTTTGAGTAAGACAGTGAACTTCCTGCTGCTTGTTTACTTCACCAGCTGCCCTGTGTGATTAACATGGATTTTGACTGCAGGCGCAGAATCCGCATTTGCTGTGATGAGCTGAATCTTTTAGTTCCCTTCTGCAATGCGGAGACGGATAAGGCAACAACCCTTCAGTGGACCACAGCATTCCTGAAGTACATTCAGGAAAGACATGGGGATTCTCTTAAAAAGGTTAGTATTTAAGTAAGTCATGTAGCTGTTTAGGATCTCATTTCCCAGTGTTCCAGTGTGTCCTTTCCCCCAGGATTCACATTGCCATTTGTTTCTTGGAATTTAAGGTTAAATAGTAAGTGCAGTGTGAACAAAGCTTTACTCATTACTAATGTAACTTGACATTTATTAAAGTAAATCACAGTCTAGATTTGTTTGTGAAATTACGGTGCATAAATGACTTGAAGTGTCAATTGCTACATAACATATTGAGTACCCACTGTATACAGTGTATTGTACTGGGGTCCAGAGAGTATGTAGGGTGTGATCTATGTCCTCCAAAGGCAAATAGATTACATTCCTTTGGCTAGGGATGAGCTGGGGCTTCAACACCTGTGCCCTGGTTCCCCGGGGGCCTGGGGGCCACTGTGACTCATCTGTCATAGCCTTAAGCCTGCTTTGCTTCTGCTAGCCTTAGATGCCTGGTTTGGTTGAGAGTTCAGTTGGCCCCACAGGATGCAGAGGAAGAAGGGTGGCAATTGTAGGCTGCTTGTGTACTCTGCCCCGGGAGTCATGGTGTTGGATACTGGCCTCAGAACTCTGGTGGCCAGGGCCAGTGGCTCTTCATCCTGCCAGGTGTGATTAGGCCTTAGAGAAACCTACAGGGTCCTGATTTTGTATCTTGACCACACTATTGGGCAGTTGCTGCTGTTGATCCCGGCAGGAGTCTTTCTACTGGAGAGTAGGTTAAGACAGATGCAGCAGTCTAGAGCCTTTTAGGAAGGACACCGGGAGAAGCCCTCCCACAGCCAGGCTGCACCAGCGGGGCCGCCTTTCTTCAGGGCCTGCAGTAGGAGTGTTCCTGTCCTTTCCCTCCTCTGTGTCTGCATGACATTTACATTGTATGAATTGCATGATTGCCTGAGTTTTTACTTTCATTATATGTTTTATTGCATTTTAAAGCAATACTATTTGATTTTATCCTAATTGAGCCATTTATAGTTAGTTGTGTGTAGTTACTCTTTAACATTTGTTAGTGGTAGACTGCTGGTTTGTTTTAATAAAATAAAGCTTTAATATTTAAAATGACTTAATGTTTGGCTCTGTGTACCTGTTTGTGGTAAACCATTACTGATGAAATTCTGCCATAATGCAATAAAGGTATTTGCAACCTTTTAAATAAGCTGTTTATTAACTAGATTAAAAACTTATGGTTTTGTGGTGTTTTTTTTTTTTTAATTTTGAATATTATGTTCCCTGGATATTTCTGAAGTATAGTTGCATTCAATTTGTAGATTATTTCTGGGTCAGATTATTGGGCCCATCAGACAGGCAGGGTGAAGTCAGGCAGCTGTCAGGGGAATTGGAGCATCACTGACCTGAACATGTGTTCTTGGTTATTTCCACAGTGATTTCCTCTTTACTTGAATGCATATTTTTGTTCTTAAAAGATGCAATAATGAAAGTTTTCAGTGGTTTTTCTATTTATCTTAGTGTGCATTTCACCTGACTTGTTATACTTTCATAGTATAACAAGGCATCTGCTGCAGACCTGGGGTACCTTGGATAAGGCAGTGGCTCTGCCAGCCTGGAAGGAGGCAGCAACCCTGAACAGTGAAGGAGATGTTGTCGGGTCCTGCCGCAGGGTGGAAACGCTGCTGTGGGTCAGTGAGGTGACAGTGGGCATCTGAGCCCAAATGCTGAGAAGGAACCTGCATCACAGAGCTCAGAGAGCTACAGTTCCATAGGTCTTTGGGCAGGGACGCCACACACCATGATTAGCAGAGCTCTGCCTGCCTGCCTGCCTACAGCAGTGTTGCTGGGCTTGGACTACAAGGTAGGCAGGCCAAGGTGTGGTGGGCCTGGATGTCCCCCTAGAGCCCCTGGAAGGTTCTGGACTCACATTTTACAGCCGTCACTCAGCACTGGTGGCAGGGGTCAGGGTGACTACTGGCAGTGGCCTGCAGCAGTAACTCTGGAGAGAGACGCCTTGGCTGGGGCTGGCAGAGGAATGGTTGGTTCCCAGTGTGTTGTGGTGCCAGGTATGCAGCTTGGTGGCTTGGTTCTTGGCCAGCGGGTGGAAAGGGGAGCGAAAGGATGTGGGCGGGCTCAGTGTTCTGGGCTGGAAGTGCTGAGCTTTCGGGGCCGTGGAGTTGTTGAGAAGGTGTCTGAAAAGGAGTGTGCAGCTCGGTTAGGGGATGGACTTTGTGTCATGTTCAGGTGAGCACACGCAGTACCGGAGCACCAGTTTCCCATCGCTGGATCTCAGCATGAACAGTTACATGTTCACCTCCCACACATTTCAGAGGCGGGCACAGACGTGGCTTCATCCTGACCCGAAAGACCCCCACCTGGATGACCCCAGTGCCGGAGTCAGCCCCACAAGGCTAGTGGCAGCTGTCCTCTTCCCTCTAATGCTCCGTCGCTAGTCATATTTTGCCAAATTGTTCGAAAAACGATCATTGCAGTAGTTTTGTTGTTTTCCCCCCCAGTGCACCATTCAGCCAGGGGTTGTCTTGCATTTGGTTCTGGTTTTCGGTCTTTAAGCTACATGGCACTGGGTCAGTACTTACAGAAACTTTTAATTATAGTATCACTTTAAGCTTAACAGGAAAATCGGAAAGACTGTACAAAGAGCTCTTATGTACCTGCCCAGAGTTGCCACGTCCCCATTTTCTGTCTTTCCCAGTCTCTTAAGTTTCCAAATAATTTGCTAGTGGGTCACTGACATGTGCCGTTTAAACCCAACTACTTCAGTGGTTACCTGTCAGCATATCATGGTACGGAGCCAGCTCAGTGTTCACAGCACATTCGCACTGTCATGCTCAGTTCTTCGTGGTGAACACTTAGGTTTTGCTGGTTGTCCCAATACTACCCTCTGTAGCTTTTCCGCAGTTGCGGTCCAGTCCAGACCCATAGGTGACATTTAGTTGTGTTGTGACTCTGTTGTAGATTTGTGGCTGTGAACCTCAATGAGGTGCTTTCTTTATGGTACCAGGGATCAAACTCTGGACCTTGCGCTTGCAAGACAAGTGGTAGAACCACTGAGTGAAATCCCTAGCCCCTCACTGAGTTGCTTGAAGCCACTTTGCCACCCTCTGCCTCCCTCTCTTCCTCTCTTCTTCAGGCCCCATCACAGTGAGGCCGACTGACTGGGTGCTCTGCAGCGTTTCCAGTGGCGGCCACCTGCTTTCCTCCTCCTTGTCGCTACGGATGTGGCCCTGACTTCTGTCTGAAGTCAGGCGCACGTCTCCTTTCTCCCTTGCTGTCTCAGAAGTCACTCCTTCACCCCAAGCTTCCTGCAAATGGCTGCTGTTCCTCCCATTCTCTTATGGGAACTCTCGCTCCCATTCCTCCTGCCAGTACCTGCCCATTCTTTGCTCTCCTTAGCTCCAGCTCAGCGCCATCTGTACACTCCTCTCCTCTCTCCGTCCCCTATCCCCATGGCCTTTGGAGATGAGTCCTGTGTTGGCCTCATGGACACGCCTTTGCTTTCTGTACCAGCCTTCAGGACCCTGTCCTCCCTGATTTCTTCCCCCTCCCTTGGCCTGCCTTTTCCCCCCAGCTTCTCAGTGCGCCCAGCTTGGTCCGTGTCCTAGAGCTGAGTGGCTGAGGAAGCTGGAGAGTTCTCATCAGTGTGCAACCCTTATTGATCCCTGAAATTAGTGGGCTGCCTCCTACTGTGCGCCACTGACCTCCAGAAGACTGGAGCTTCCCCACTCCCTTCATTGCTCGTGGGGGAGTGACAGTGTTGCTGGCTTGGTTGGTAGGCTTGGAGTGAAGGCTGGCTTTACAGACTTGTACCCTCTCCTGTTGAATGCATCGGCCCCTGCAGTGGCTTCTGTGGCTCTCAGCCTGAGCTTCCTGTGTGTCTGCATGGATCGCTGCTGGTGCTGCCATATAGCACTCTGGTCAGCTGAGTCCACTGGCACTTCACCCCTTCCAGGGCATCATCTTTGTGGGCACACCTTTACCTGTTACATGAGTGATGGCAAGTGTGAATCATTTAATTGAATGTAAAGCCCCTTCTGCAAGAGAGACCCCACTCACCCAGGTAGGTAGTGTCATCCAGCAGAGCAGGCTGGGATTGTTGAATGCTGTGACCTGCCCTGTGCCTGTGGGCAGCTACATACTCAGGAAATGTGGTGCCTGTGCTGCTGCTGCTGCTATTGCTGCTGCTTTCAGCAGACTCCAGAGGCTGAGAGGAGGCAGCGCAGCAAACCAGAATGCAACCCCCATGGGGCAGCACAGTGTCTGTGTCCAGGACGGGATGGAGTGGTCAGCAGCTGGGCGCCTGTGCAAACTACTCAAATGTTTGTTTCGCCTTTTTTTAAAAAAACGTGTTAGGTAGAAGTTTACCTTCAGCTGCTGAGCAACATCTGCAGCTTATACATGGCAAAATGAGCTAACAGCTGTGTTTGTGACCTGTTTTATAATAAAGTATCTTGGGAAAAGTACACCTGTTTTCTTTCTGCCCTCCTGACTCTGTGCCTGCCTTGTCCTTTGGCCGCCCCAGCCCTTTGCTCTCTCTGCATACTTGCTGGGCCTTAGGCTCTGGCCTTAGGGAGCTAGGTCAGTTCTAGCTTTGCTGCTGGCTTTTTGTGTGCAGATCACAAGTAATGCTTTTACTGTTCTAAGTTACTTTTTATTATTTAAAAACCTGTACTTATTATTTCCTTCCTCAGTGTTTTGTTGTTGGTGGCATCTTGAAAGTTTACTTCTTTTATTTTCAGTCTTTCTAATTTACATTCATTTATTCATTCATTGGTACCAGGGATCAAACTCAGGCCCTTGTACTTATGAGGTAGGCGGTAGAACCACTGAGCCAAATCCCTGGCCCCTCTAATTTACATTTAAAGCAAATTTCTGTCATAGTGCTGCTTTGGATATACCCTAATGTTTGGGATATAATGCTTTCACTGTCTCAGTACTTTTTGTTTATCTCTTCAACATATGAGTTCCCTGAAACTCTAATTTTCCATATATGTAGGAGTTTGTCTTTTCAAAAACAGCTTATCTGT